GCGACACATGTCGTCGCCGAAAGTGTTTTCTGCGGCGACTTTTTTGTCGCCGCTGAAAGTAATGCCTAAGAAGAATTGCCTTTACCAATGCCACGTCATCACCGCCGGTGTCACGTCATCGTCTCCGGCCGCCACGTCAGCACCGTCGACCTCCACGTCATCGCCGTTGGCGGCCACGTCATCACCGCCGACCGCCACATCATCACTAGCCACCTCCACGTCATTGCCACATCACTCCTCATCGCCACGTCATCGTCTAAATATTTCCACCTTAAATGTGTCTTCTTCCAAGATCGAACTCGTGACCGCCTCCTTTCGTGTCCAACCTTCTTGCCGCTGAGCCAGATTGAATTTGTTTATTAATATTGTAAAATAAAATATATATTATTATATTATACTTTCAGCGGCGACAAAAAAAGTCGCCACTGAAAGTCCACTTTCGGCGGCGACAAAAAAAGTCGCCGCTAAAGGTCCACTTTCGGCGGCGACACTTTTGTCGCCGCTGAAAGTCTTGGTTTCAATGGCGAACTTTCAGCGGCGACAAAAAGGGTCGCCGCTGAAGGTCCACTTTCGGCGGCGACAAAAAAGTAGCCGTTAAAGGTCCACTTTCAGCGGCGACACTTTTGTCGCCGCTGAAAGTCTTGGTTTTAATGGCGAACTTTCAGCGGCGACAAAAAAAGTCGCCGCTGAAAGTCCACTTTCGGCGGCGACAAAAAAAAGTCGCCGCTGAAGGTCCACTTTCAGCGGCGACATTTTCGTCGCCGCTGAAGGTCCACTTTCAGCGGCGACTTTTTGGTGTCGCCGCCGAAAGTGGACCTTCAGCGGCGACTTTTTTTGTCGCCGCCGAAAGTCGTCGCCTAAAGTCTGTTTTTTTGTAGTGAAATTAATGCTTTGTAGAGGCGGAAAGCTAAGGTGATATTTTTTCACACCAATATTGTCGATTAACTTTGGTACATCTCTAAGTGATAGTGTTTCCAAAGCAGGGAGATGAATAGGAAGCTCATCACTTTCATTCTCATTTGATAAATGATCTCCATCATCATATTTTCCAAAAATATATTTCAACTCAGCAGCTCTCCCTATGCTTAAACATTTTAATTTTTGAAGAGTACCAAAAAGAGAGAGAGGAAATATAGACTCCAGCTTGTTGCAATTGTTGATAAATAGATCCTCCAGTTTTGGGAAAAAGGAGCTATAGTTTATATCGTGATGATGATTATTAGAATCATCTTCAACCACATTAACTAATTCCTCACAATCTAATATAAGTAATTCAGACAACTCTGGTAGGTTTTTGAATGTAGAGATAGAAAACAAAGTTGTCAACTTTTGGTTTCCCCAAATTGTTATTTGTTTCAGATAGTGAAAGTTCAGAACATGTTGGAAGCCCACACTTGGAGTGAGTGGTGGTGTTTCGACGTTAACAATCTCTTGTATTTCAGATTCCTTTCCTCCCTCACTTCTCACATCTTCCATGTGCTTCTTAATTTCCTACAACATGTTTTCACAAAAAGAAAATTTAAAATTTAAAATAATTTTATCTATTTTGATCCTTCAATTTAAAATAATGTTCTCTATTTCTATCCTTCGTGCTTATGAAATACATACACATTTACCCACAAAACGCAAACACACTATTATTTTTGGGAAATATTTCAAATTCAAATTTAAAATCTGTATAGAAGCAAAGCCGAATCACTTCAACATAATTAATTCTACATGCCTCCATAAGAAAATTATATGAAAGTCTTCATATTTTGAGAATGTTTAAATATTTTGTTAACAATATATAATTTATTACATATAGTCTTTATACAAGATAAAAATATTAATAAACTGCATTTTGATTTAAACTGAAATAAAAAGATGAAGTTGACATTAAATTTAGTGCAATAATTACCATATTACTCCATTTTATCGAAAACTCTGAGGTACAAAATAGACATCAAATTTTAAGCTAACAGAATTTCTTTTTGGCCTTTCAAAACAGATAGAGTGCTTGCAACCCCACAATATAATATATGATAGTGTATATAATATTTAATCAAGTGTACTTTAAAAAAAATACAACTGCTTTATTAATTTTGATAAAGGCTTATCTTATTAATCAATATTAGCGTTGTAGGAAAATCGAGTAATTACGTGAATATAAAATTGAGGAATTGGTATAGATTTAACATTTTATAAAAATATTATTACAATTTTATATAAAAATATATAAATAAGTTAAAATTGTTAAAATTTAATCTTATCATTTTTTAATTGTAAACTATGATTATAAAGCATATTTTTCTCATTTTTTTACTACAGTTATGAACTATTCAAATCAAATTTAGTAGTTTAAATTTCTTTAGGTACTTTTTAAGTAAAATTATAATAGTATTTTTATAAAATGTCAATTTTATTATAATGGTGACAAAGTTGAAAGAAGAGTAGAGGAGGCAATCCATACATAACTTTAGGGCATAAAAGTAGATATCAAACAAATACAAATATTTCAAAATAATGAATATTAAATTAGGAATATGAGCATTTTAAAGATCAAATTGTTTTAGTTCGATTCATGCCAGGTACCAGGTAAAATAATTAAAAAAGACTAATTGAAAATGAATATCATTACTATATACAACCAAACCGGAAGTCATACGTGTTTATCGTCTGAGAGTATAAATAATCCTTATACAAGATATATACAAATATTGATAAACTGCATTTTGACATAAACTGAAAGCCGCATGACCCATAATAATTATATATAAAAGTTTAAAGTTGAAATTTTAAAAGAGAATAAATAGAAACAATTTACGTTTTCATTAAAAAAAAAAAGAGTAAGATTGAGACGCTATTAAATAATGAGTTAAAAGTAGTTACAAACCTTTGGTGCTTCCACAATCTGTAGAGATGGGCACTCTAGTTGATGTTTCTTGATACCAATGCCGATCATACTTGGTACATAACGGAGGTCTAGTGATTCCAATGCCGGAAGATGAAGATGAGGCTCATTATTTTCATTCTCACTTGATTGACAAACTTCATCATCGTATTTTCCAAAAAGATATTTCAGCTCATGAGCTTCCCAAATATCTATAGATTTTAAGTTTTGAAGACCTCCGGAAAGAGTGGATGGAAATATAAATTCCAATTTATTGCAATTCTGAACAGTGAGGCTCTGTAGTTTTGGGAAGATGGAGGTGCAGTTGAGATGGACATCATCATCATTATCTGCCTCATTTGTTATAATGTGCTTCAATTCTTCACACTCATCAACATTCAGCTTCTTCAATGTGATGTTTGTGGCAATAGATACACTGAATAGTGACTTTAATTTTGAACATCCCCTAAGTGTCATTTGCATTATATTTTGTAGGCTCAATGGTTGTCTCATAAGACACTTAGCTGAATGAAATGTTTCAATCCTTTCACTTGATGCACATGATTCCTACAACCAATCACTTCTCTTAGTTTCAACTTAATTATATAACTAATTACTTTCTATCATATAATCAGTTACCTCAATAACACCCATTATAAACATAGATGATCCAAAAAAGAATTAATGTATCAAATGTGTCAAGCATCATGTATTCTAAGACTGTGGACATTTTAAGATGTGATTTATAAGGTATTAAACTACTAACATCCATGCCCATACTACTGGGCAAATAATAGAAAAAGAAAAAATAATTAGGAGCGTTAGCATTGTGAATATCAAATTGTTAGCCAAAATAATTCAACAGAAAACTAACTGAAAATGAATAGTATTACCATATACTTATATGTTCCCCAACCCAAGACAAAGGCCTACGTGTTCGTCTTCTGAGAGAATATATAATCCCCATGTTGACATAAATGAAATCCGCATAACCCATGATAATTATATATAGAAGTTTAAAATTTAAAATTTTAAAAGAGAATAAATGGACAAAAATGTTTTCATGCAAGAAAACAGAGAAAAATTGAGACCCTATTAAATAATGAATTAAAATGGTTACGTACCTTTGGTGCTTCCACAATCTGCAAAGATGGGCATTCTGGTTGATGTTTCTTGATACCAATGCTGATCATATTTGGTACTTCTAAGAGGAATAGTATTTCCAATGCTGGAAGATGAATGTGAGGCTCATCATTCTCATTCTCATTTGATTGACAATCTCTATCATCGTATTTTCCAAATATATATTTCAGCTCATGAGCTTTCCAAATATATATATAAAATAATTTTTGAAGACCTCCAGAAAGAGTGGATGGAAATATAAATTTCAATTTATTGCAATTCCGAACATTGAGAATCTGTAGCTTTGGAAAGATGAAGGTGCAGTTGAGATGGACATCATCATCCTCTGCTTCATTTGTTATAATGTGCTTGAGTTCTCCACACTCCTCAACAGATAGCTTCTCCAACATGATGGTTGTGGCAACGGATACATTGAATAGTGACTTTAATTTTGAACATCCCCAAAGCCTCATTTCCCTTATATTTTGTAGGCTCAATAGTTGTCTCATAAAACACTCAGTTGAATGAAATGTTTCAATCTTTTCACCTGACGCACATGATTCCTACAGCAAATATACTTCTCTTATATTCAACTTAATTATATAACTAATTACTTTCTATCATATAATCAGATACCTCAATAACAGTCCCATTATAAAACAACCTATATGAAATGGACCATAACGTACATGAAATACAAAATAAATGCGTCAAGCATCAGGTATTGTAACACTGGGCATTTTAAGGTGTGATTTAATATATAAATAAGTTAAAACTGTTACAATTTAATCTTATCATTTTTTTAATTGTAAACTATTATTATAAAGCATTATTTTTCTCACTTTTTTAACTACACTTATGAACTATTCCAATCAAGTTTAATAGTTTAAATTTCTTTACGTATTTTTAAAGTAAGATTATAATAATATTTGCATAAAACGTTAATTTTAATATAATGGTGGCAAATTTGAAAGAAGATTGTAGAGGAGGGAATCCATTCGCTACTTCAGTTTATCTGTAATTTTGGGGTATAAAAGGAGACGTTAAACAAATACAAATATTCCAAAATCATGAATATACTTAGGAATATGAGCATTTTAAAGATCAAATTGTTTTAGTTCGATTCTTGTTAGGTACCAGTTAAAATAATTAAAAAAAACTAATTGAAAATGAATATAATTACTATGTACAACTAAGACGGAAGTCATATGTGTTTGTCTTCTAAGAGTATAAAATAATCCTTATACAAGATATATAAAAATATTGATGAATTGCATTTTCACATAAATTGAAAACCACAAGACCCATAATAGTTATATATGAAAGTTTAAAGTTGAAATTTTAAAATAGAATAAATAGAAAAAAAATATGTTTTCTTACCAAAAAAAAAAACAGAGCAAGATTGAGACGCTATTAAATAATGAATTAAAAATAGTTACGTACCTTTGGCTCTTCTATAATCTGTAGAGATGGGCGTTCGAGCTGATGTTTCTTGATACCAATGCTCATCATATTTGGTACGCCTTCGAGGAATAGTGTTTCCAGTGCTGGAAGATGAATCTGAGGCTCATTGTTTTCATTCTCATTTGATTGACAATCTCCATCATTGTATTTTCCAAAAATATATTTCAGCTCATAAGCTTTCTGAATATGCATATATTTTAATTTTTGAAGACCTCCGGAAAGAGTGGATGGAAATATAAATTCCAATTTATTGCAATTCCAAACATTGAGACTCTCTAGTTTTGGGAAGATAGAGGTACAGTTGAGAGAGGCATCATCATCCTCTGCTTTATTCGTTATAATGTGCTTCAGTTCTCCACAGTCCTCAATATACAGATTCTCCAACATGATGGTGGTGGCAATGGATACACTGAATAGTGATTTTAATTTTGAAAACCCCTTAAGTGTCATCTCCCTTATACTTTGTAGGCTCAATGGTTGTCTCATAAGACATTCAGCTGAATGAAATGTTTCAATCCTTTCACTTAATGCACATGATTCCTACAACCAATCACTTCTCTTAGATTCAACTTAATTATATAACTGATTACTTTCTATTATATAATCATATATCTCAATAACAATCCCATTATAAACATAGATGAACCAAACAAGAATTTATGTATCGGAAAATACATGAAGTACAGAGAAATTTGTCAAGCATCTTGTATCATATGACTGTGGGTATTTTAAGATGTGATTTATAAGGCATTCAACTGGTAACATCCGTCCCCATCCTACTAGTCAAATAATTGGAAATGAAAAAAAATAAAAAAATAATAAAGCATTGAATTAACTAAGATTCATACTCGTGTTAATGATATACCTGTTATCACTATTTGTGTGTTCGTGTGACTATTTATTTTTCTCTTTAATTGTTGCTGAAATAAAAAAAAATCAATTCTGTGTAATTCCAACCCAAGACGAAAGCCATACGTGTTTGTGTTCTAATAGTATATATATATTCCTTAACTTGTTAGTGCACTTAAGAAAATAATATAACTGTTTTATTAATTTTGATAAAGACTTATTTTATTTTTCAATATTAAAATTGTAGGAAAATTGACTAATTACACAAATATAAAATTATTTTTTCAATTAATAATGCATAGAGGAGTTCTTTTTTTAATCGTTTTGAGCTTTATCTCATGTACAGGGACAATATTAATTAATTTTTTTTGATAAAGAAAACATTAATTAAATAACTGTAAAGGTACACCTTATACAAACTTAATACTAAGAAACCCATACATAAAATTATAATAACATAAAAAAATATGAATAAATAAAAACGACTATAAATAGCACCTATTTTATGACTATAATATATTAAAAGAAACGAAACTACAGATAAAAACAAACACGACCTATCATTTCTTTTCTCACCGTTTCTCTACAGCTTTTCTTACCATATCTCCCCTCCATGATTAGATCTACATGTCTTGAAAAGAGAAAAATATCTATAAACCATCCATGTACCATATACTAATAAAATGAAAGTTTAATAAATCAAATATCACCATTTTCCATTAAAAAAATAAACATAAATGTTGAATAAAAAGAGCAAGGCCAAAGTAGCATACCTGTGAGATTGTGCAGTCTTCTAGTAGGGGGGCATTAGAAACTCCAATATTACTGTCTTTTGTTGCAGCCAGAAAACAACACCCATGAGTCCATGAGAAAGCACTTGTCTTAGAGTTCTTATGTCTCTCCTTTGAATCTTCTTTCAAAATATGAGGCGGCCTTAGCACACATGTCTTACATTTTTTAAATATGTTAATGAAACTTGGTACTCTCTGAAGTCTCACTTGTGTTAGTAAAGGGAGCATGATTTCCTGTTGCCCAGCTTGGCCCACATTATCGTTATATTCACCAAATAAGTATTTTAGCTCCGCACAATCATATATGCCTAAATCTTTCAACTTGGGAAGGTCTCCAGCTTGAAGAAATGATGATACCACTTCTAATTTGCCACATCTTTCAATTTGAAGAGACTCTAATGCGGGAAACAATAAGCCATGACGTTTTTGATAATCAACAATCCTCATTTCTTCTTCTAAACTCTCGTCTGCAATTAAATTTTTTAGCTCTGTGAAACCTTCAACTATTAATTCTTCCAATTGCCCAAGACTTCGAGCAACAAAGGGTTTGAAAATTGATGGTTGGAACATTGGACAATCTTCCAATTTCAATACCTTCAGATGAGGTAGCTTGAGATTTTCATCTGAGAGTATATTTTGTAGTTTCCTACAACCCTCTAACCTTAAAATCTGTAACTTCTCAAGAAACCTAGAAGGCATAGCACCGCAACATAATTCTTTCACATCCACTTTACACAGATGTAACTCAACTAAGTTGAAGAAGAATGACAAATTAGAATAGTGACACTTATTACTATGAATAAGGCACTCAATGTCAGCCCAATCATACAAGTAAAGCTTGATTAAATTATCCTTGCCTCTCTCTTCCACAGGAATAATGTCAGGGATAAGACTTTTCCACCCTGTTTGTCCTAAGTTCCCTAGCTCAAGAACTTCTGCTCTTCGCACAAGGTACTTAAACATGGCTTCTGATATTAAATTTTTCAGATGTTCCGAATTGAAGCATTTTAATAGGCCATTATCATCATCAGCAAAACATTTAAAACCATCGCAAGCAATTGAAAACATTTGCAATGCAGAAGGAGATATATGGGGAGCATTTTCATCTTCAATTTCTTTTTCATCCTCTGGCTTCCAATCTTTAATATTGTAATTCTCAACAAAATGCAATTCTTCCAATTGTGAACATCTTTCAATAACTTGAAGGGGATTGTTCTTTTGAATTCCACACTTCTTAAACCCCAACAATCTCAACATCTTTAGTTCCATGATGTCTTGGGATAATTCAATAATTAGACAATTTTCCATCTCAAGTGTCACATGACCTTGTAAATTCTTCAAAGCCGAAATGTTTCCTATTTCGCAACCATCCAAGATAAGAGTTTGAATATTCTTTAATGAAGCAAGTGATTGCGAAAATGACGAAGTGGGAACTCTTCTGTCATATTGACCGAGCAAAAACAGAATTTTGAGGTTTGACATCCTTGCAAAGAATGCATTTGCATCTTTTTTCAAAGCATTTTCACTTATCCAAAGAAGTAAAATCTCAACCTTCGTACCATCAAATTGATCAGGAAAATCATCAATACTCCAAAACACAAATCGCTTACTTGCTTCAAAAGCTGTTCTTGAATTCATAATCACTTGAATATCATCCTTGGCTATCCATTGAGCTACTTCACGAACCAAGTCGTGCATCTTTACACATTCTTTATTCTCAACCTTCAGTAGCAAAGAAGAAGCTATAAGTTCATTTTTCACTGCAAGTGGTTTGCTTCGTGCTGCACAATATTGGTTAACTTCCCCAAAAATTCCTGACCCCATACCAATTCTAATAATGAGATTTATGGGAAATTCATAATCTTCTGGGAATATAGAACACAATAAAAGAAGCTTTTGGGCCTTCTCATTATTTAATTTATCATAGCTTAATTTCAAGCAATTATAAACATTCACCAATTCTTCATCGACATCAACAATTGGCTTATTATCTCGTAAAGTTGTCAAAGCCACAGTCCATTCAGCAACAGGCCAATTTTTTAATGTGCTAGCTAGTGCCACGATTGCAATTGGTAATCCTCCACACTCCTTCACAAAAGCTCGTGCAAGGCCCTCTAAATCATTCCTTGAAGGATGATCAGCATCACAACTTCTAGCATGATACAGAAAGAGACGCACTGCATCCTCGTCACCCAATGTGTGTAGGTGAACTACTTTTTGGCATATCATTTGCTGATAAACTTTTGAATGACGAGTGGTTATCAAAACATAGCAATTCTTGTGATCAGGTCCAGATGGAATCCCAAGTTCAGTTAGATCCAGCTTCTCCCACACATCATCAAATATTATGAGTAACTTTTTTTCATTATCAGAAGTTCTAGACCACAAATGTTTTGAGTGATCTGCTTCAATTCTTTGATCTAAATCCAAACCTAATTGCCTTGCAATATCGCCTCGAATCTTGTTGACATTTGGAGAACTGGACACAACAACAAAGATGACTTTCTCAAATGCTTTGGATTCTTCAACTTGCTTTCCCACTTGTGTTGCCAATGTGGTTTTACCCGTTCCCGCCATCCCTTGCAATCCAATCATGTAATGATTTCCATCTTCTAATGCATCCAAAAGTTCCTTGAATTTTGTCTTCCTGCTCTCAAAATCAATGAAGTCTTTTGAAGCATGGTACTTCATACCTGGAAGTTTACCTGGACGAGCTACTCCTTCAAAGTTTTTATAATTTTGGATGTGACTTTTAATGACTTGCGCCCTCCGTGCCAATATCTTGCCTTGTCGATATTTCCTAAGAAAAGAATAGCTATCAAACCTTGTTTGCCTAACTTCAGCATTCATTTGAATTAGTTTATCAGCTTTCTTTATCCAATCTTGAAATTCACCTTCAACCTCATGCTCATTAATGTTGGCATCGTCAATATCCTTTCGAACTTTCTCTAATCTTCTACGCAAAAGTTGATTGTCCTCATCAAACTCGTGATTATGAGTCTCGAAATGACGACAGTAATTAACTTCCTTTATGGTTTTATCTACCAATCTCTTGGCAAGATCTGTTAAAATACCTTCCCCAGGGCATGCCATCTAAAATGGACAGGACATTAAATTAGGATTCCAAAAGTAGTAATTAAAAATGTGAAAAGCTATGATGATACATAATGTTTTACAAATATGTAACGAAATCTCTGGTGTAGTCAATGCCCAACCATTTGCATTCTCTTTTGTTAGTGTTCTGGGATCCAAATTTTAATTAATAATTAAATATATAAATAGATAAGTAATAAACGAATTACAGTATTGCAAACACAAAAATGTCATAAAATAAAATTGTATTATATTTAAATTGTATGTATACTATCTTTTTGGACCAACTTAATTTCCAATATCAATATTTAATAAATGCCTCCTAATTAAAAGAGTTCAGGATACAAGCAGACCCGCGAGTTAAACCTAGCAGGTTAGTGTTCTCCTAATGGGTTAGCGAACTGACTATATAATTTTTAAAAACATATGTTTTTTATTTTTAATGTCAATCTACAAATTGTGATTTTATATTTTTAATGTCAACCTATAGATTATGATTATATCTCTTTTGGTAAAATTGTTCCCATGCAACTCACATTTAAACGACTAAAAGTTGAAACTAGAAGGACTAAAATTAAAATAATAAAAAATTTAAAGGACTCAAAATTATATTAACCCTTATTAATTTTATTTTAATTTTGGAATATTTCTCAAAATATTAAAATGAATTATCACAGTGTATGAAAAAGATTCATTTTACATATAAGTAAACTTTTTATGGTCAAAATTTTTTAATTGGTTAATTAATTGACTTTAAAATTTACAAATATACTGTTTTAAATTAAGATTGCGAACAATGAGGAAAATCTTGATCAAATAAGAAATTTTGTAGAGCGTAGACTCACATGACTTAAATGAAATGACATAAAATTAAGAATCGTACGTACTTTTGCCTACATATTCAAATTCTAACATTATTTAAAAAAATTATTACCAAACGTCATAAAAGTTACCATACCATCTTTAACCTGTTTTTGGGTTTTAATTTATTTCAAATACATTATAGAGAAACATATAGAAATGTCAAGTTGGGATAAAAGTATAGTTTTAAAAAGTTTTCAGCCGAAAAAAAAAGTAATCATGAAAAGTTTTCCTGAAATTCACAAAATATCATAAACTCAAGAAAAATAGTAAAGAGGTTTAAAACAAAAATGGAAGCTTTAGAGAGGCACAAATAAAGAGAATACCTCAAAAAGGAATTTGTGGGAATAAAAGGGCTATTTTTGGCTGATTCGGTAATATTTACGCAAATTATATAATAAACTAAAATTACATAAAAGTCCGAAATAATTATTGTGAGAATTAATAAAATTTACTAAGAGAATTTTACCCAAGGAAATGGAATATTTTATTTTGAAATAATTTGTTAGCTTTAAAATTGTAATTTCGAAAAAATTAAAAGGATAAATAATTTGGGATTAAATTTTGAGACGACAAAACTGCAGAAATTATTTTATGAGGAGAATAGATTTTGGAAGAGTTACTTATTGGTTGGGAATTGATGATGAAATTTAATTACGTACACGTTAGGAAATTGTCCAAAATTTCCTACCATAATTCCAAAAATTAAAACAAATCAATCCCAGCTCCCAAGCCTAATAAATCTGCTGATGGGCGAGGCTGGAGGTCTAATTATCCTAAAAATTATTTGGCCCAAAGGTGTGGCTAGAAATTATGGATTTCAGGTAATTAGTATGAATCGTTCACAGTCTCATTTCTAATTGAGGCAAAAGCATAATTTTAAAAAGTTCTGGGTCCGTGAGGATAAGCATTTTAAAAAATATGCCCAAAAATTCATAAAATTCTTAGAAATTCATGGCAAATGGAGTAAATGTCCTGGACAATATTTGTTGCAATTGTGGTGAAAATAAAGGAAGTTGTCCAAAAAAGGAATTTTATTTAATTTATAAAATTTTGGTTAGTTAAAGGAGAATTAACTAAAATTAATTATGAAAAATATTAGGATGTCTAAAAAAATTGGATAAAATTGAAACGCATTTTGTCCGTTATATAATATAAATGCCATAAGATGGAGAAATTAGACAAATTATTTAAATTTATAAATATAATTGGTCGAGTATATATTTATCAAAAGAATTAACCAAATATTCCATCAAGTCTTTTATATGTCTGCATTTACTAAAGTACTTAAGTTTATGTCCAATATGATAAAGATATCAAACAAATAACTATTTTCAAAAGGAAAAGAAAAAGGGAAAAGAGAAAGAAAACCCATCAATTCTTCAAAACATTTTCAGCAAAAGTAGAAAATTAGCATTATGATGAAGGGTAAACTAGCATATTAATAATTTAGATGTAAGTGTATGTATTCAAAATAAACAAGAGATCTATGTAATTAAGACAAAATGTGAAGGAGGTTAGTGTATAATGCTGAGCATAATTTGCAAAATTAGGAAGGGGCCTCGTTAATGTTCAAATTCTCGAGTATAAAAAGATTAAGAAATGAATTGAGAAATAAATAACATACTGGAATTCTTGTGGGCTTAATTGAGTGCTTAAGAGCTTTCTGATTCTTTTTTTTTTTTATGTTATTTAAACCAAGTTTGAAGAGTAGTCTTTCAAAACAACTTTGGAAAAAAATCTGTTTGAATAATTAATTTGAAAAACATATACTTTTCTGGTTCTTAATATAAGACCTATTTAATTAATTTAATTAGATTAAAGAAGTTAAATAAGTTAATTAATTATAAGAAATATGATATGTTTTTCTTAAAATATCATAATCATCTTTCTTAACATCATCATTTCCTCTTTTAATTGATTATGCTTGAATGAGTATTAATAAGAATAATTTAGAAAAAACTGATAAATATGATAAATAAATCTTATATCTAGAATCAAAATTAACTCAATAATTAAGTCCTATTTTAAAGACCGGGAGAGTATAAAACAGTGAAATAAAAGATGAAAGAATATTTTTATACTTGCATAATTGTCCTTAATTAAAAACATGGGCTTTGTTTGTTTCTATTTTATTTTTACGTTTTTAGAGTAATTTTATAAATTTTTTAAAATAAGTTTTATAAAACTAAAAAAACATGTTTGGGTAATTGTTCCAAAAATTTGCATTTGAAAATAAAATTTTTTTTTTCAGGATAATTGTATTTAAAATCAACTTGAAAAACGACTAGAGAAGTAAAAAGGTTAGTTTAAAAAAAAAAACAACTACATGATACAAAAAATTCAAAAAAAAAATGTAAAAATTGTTGAGTTTTTTGTTTTCTGAAATATATTTTTATTTTTTGTTTTGCAGAACACCTAGTTAAAAATTAACAAACAGACAAGTTTTTTTATTTTTAAAAATAAAAAATTGTTTCCAAAACAATAAAACAAGCATGCCCATAATGTTTCTCCACTTATTTTCTAATTTTACAGAACAAGAAGATAAGAAGACATCTAACATATTTTTTTTTTCTCCTGAACAATTTTTAATATTTTTCTTATTTTTCAAAGCACATAAACAAACACACATTTTCAAACATTTTTTTTAATTGCTTTTCAGAAAGAAAAAAATTACTGTTCTGAAAACAGGAAATGAAACAGTCCCTAAATGTTACTATAAATATTCAAATAATTAAGAGTTTCTCTAGCAAGCTCCATTCATAAATTTCGTGATAGCTTGGTGGTGAGATGCGTGTGTAAAAATATGAAATTTTAGGACACTAATTTTGAGTAAGCTGTGTATAAAATATAAGTTAAGAAACTAAAGTAGGATAATTCTTGTAAAGCCTCATATTCTTTTTGCTTTATGTCATGTTTATATTTTTGGCTAACTACTTTCCGCAGTAAGTGATTGGAAAAGGCTTTATCACACACACAAACATTATTAGCATATGATTTTCTTTTTCTTTCAACTAAATTATTTAGAGGAAAACGCCAATATATACTATAAAAATGGATCATTTTCATGTATAATTTTCATGTATACAAATTTATTTGTTACGAATTTTTATATGTAATATTAATTAAGATTAGTTTAACAACGCCAAACATATAATTATTGAATTTATATCTTAAATAACCCTTAAATATGAAATACATGGAAAATAATAAAGGGCATATAATGAGGAAAAGAAAAGTGAATTTCAAAAAACATGCGTACCACTTCTTTGACTGATCCCTTCCACAGAAAAACTTCCAAAAGCAGTAAAAGCGATCAACCAAATCAAAAAGGGAACTGGAAAAAAAGAAGAAGAAGAAGAAGACTATTAGTGATGATATTTAAATAATTATAATATTTAAATTTAAAATGTGTGTCATACAGTCTATTTTGTTTAGATATCATAAATAAAATTACTATTAATATAATATTTGGTCTTTCAAATTTTAAATCATAGTCTTTAGTTCTTAAATTTCTTTTGATTTAAAATATTCATCCTTGTAATTCAATAAAAACTATGACTATTTTGCTTCTTGAAGAACCAAAACCTATGACTTGAAATTTAAGAAACTAAAACCAAATTGAGAATAAAAGTAAAGAATCAAAGATTATTAATCCATAAAATTATGGGAGAATTCTAATCAAATCCAACTGAAATACCTAAATCCAACTTTAGGTTTACACTTTTCACAAACTCCTAATTAGGTCATAAGGCCTCTAGGGATTTATGAATGTTATTAAATGACTATAATGTACTCTTTAATTAAAAAAAAACTTGATTATTTTACCCCTCCCAAGTGTTCGTTCTCTCATCTCTTATAATTATTTTTTAAAACCAAAAAACACATAAATAATTTTTTCATGTTTAAAATGTGTCTATATAACTAAAATCTTTAAAAATATTTTAATTAAACATTTTAAATTATATCATAAAATAATTAATTTTATTTTTAATAAAAGAAGAACATTTTAGTCATTTAACAAGATTAAAAAAATCCTAAAGTAGGCCTTATGGCCTGATTAAGAATTTGTTAAAAAAATATAAGCTTTAATTTGAATTTAAGTATTTCAGATGGATTTTATTTAGATTTTTCCAAAA